CCCTCATAAATATGCAACTATTAAAAGAAAAATATTTTATCCAACAAAATTAAAAATAAACAAACATGAACATTAAGGAATGTCAACCTTGCCAGACACAGTGGCACTGCCTGTAATCTCAGCAATTCAGGATGCTGAGGCAGGAAGATAACAAGTTCAAGGCCAGCCTGAGCAACTCAGCAAGACCCTGTCTCAATAAATAAATAAATAAATAAAAGGATTAGGGATATAATCAGTGGTAGAGCAACACCCTTGGGATCAATCCCCAGTACAAAAAAAAAAAAAAGTTGCCCTCATTACTGTATAAATAAAAATGATGAAAATCACCTTCTATCATAAGAATGTGAACGTGGCTGAAGGTCTCTGGACCATGATCTTGACTTTGATCTTGATTTCCTTCCTCCTTTCTTTCTGCTATAAGTTCTACTGTCTGACGAACTGCTTGAAGATGAACGTCTACGGTGTTTCTTTTTTCTCTTGCTTCTGCTCTCCTCTTCAGTATCTGAAGACCGTCGTCCCATTTCTATAAGCTTAAATTCAAAGAAAATTATTTCTAACATAGGCACACAATAAGCAAAATTCAACATACAAGTTTTTATACAACTCTTTAAAAATAAAACAAAATTTTTAAACATGTTCTCACTATGTTGCCCAGGCTGGTTCTTGAACTCCTGGGCTCAAGCAATCCTTCTACCTCAGCCTCTTTGTGCAGCTGGGACTACAGGCTTGTGCCATGAATACTTTATTTAAAAAAAAAAAAATTGGTACCTGGGATTAAATCCAGGGGTGTTTAGCCACATCCCCAGTCCTTTTTTTTTAACTTTGAGATGGGGATTTGCTAAGTTTCTTAGGCTGGCCTTAAATTTGCAGGCCTCAGGCCTCAGTCTCACAAGATGCTAGGATTACAGATGTGCATCACCTTACTCTACCTACTTTGTAAAAAATTTTAAAGACATATTTGAGAAAAAATTTTAAATGTGCATGGTTTCTTAGCAAGACACAAGAAAAATGTCTAATATAATCTTCTAGGACATCAATGAACTCCTTTTATAATTTTCGAACAATTCAAATCTGCTACTTGTCAGCTTTTTTGCTGCGGTGACTTAAAAACCCAACCAGAACAATTGTAGAGGAGGAAAAGTTTATTTAAGGGCTCACAGTTTTAGAGGTCTCAGTTAATATACAGCCAGCTCCATCACAGGCGGAAGAGTTTGGCAGAGGGAAGCAGCTCACATGATAATCAAGAAGCAGAGAGATTGTCACTTGCCAGATACAAATATATAACCCAAAGCCATACATGTAATGTCCCACGTGCTCTATCCACACCCCACCTGCCTTCAGTTACTGCTCAATTAATCCCATCAGGTGATTAATTCACTGTTCAGGTAAAAGCTCTTGTAATCCACTCCGTTCTCTGAACCTTCTTGCATTGTCTCCCAGGTGAGCTTTTGGGGGATACCTCACATCCAAACCATAACACCACTAGATGGGCATGGTGGTACATGCCCGCAATCTCAACAACTGGGGAGGCTGAGGCAGGAGTACCACAAGTTCGAGGCCAGCCTCAGCAACTTAACAAGACTGTATCTCCAAATAAAAAATAGTGAGCTGGGGTTGAGACTCAGAGGTAGAGGGTGCGCCTAGCATGCATGAGGCACTGCGTTCGATCTTCAGCACCACATAAAGTAAAATAAAGACATTGTGTCCACCTGTAACTAAAACTACATATTTTTTTAAAAATTGTCTTTAAAATAAATAAATAAATAGATCTGGAGATGTAGATCAGAGGTAAAACACCCCTAGTTCAAACCCCCATATCAAATAAATAAATAAATTTTCCTCATTTTTTTCTAATGTCTCTCAAGAGTCAATCCTGAAAACAGTTCATTATGTTAATTTTATGATATTGTAAGTTGCATTTATCATTAAATATGACATTGTTTGGTAACTGACCACCTACTCCCTACTTTTTGCCTTCCCTGAAGACAAGATACTTGCGTACCTTACAGTCAAATTTTTTTCTGAGAATTCTAGATTTTTAAATGGACCTCATCAGTCTTCAATAATGCACTGTAATCAACTCACTTGTGAAATCTGAGGAAATTTTAACTGATGTGCCAAAGCTGGAGAAATTATTGTGAAGTCAATCAACTCTTCACATATTGCTAGTATATAGATAGAGCGGTGTTATAAATCCTTCAGGAAGTTATTAAACAATTTACAAAAAGCCTTTAAAATGTTAGTGGCTGTTTGATAGCCAGCCGAATTGTACTTTGGAAATATATTTGGAAGATTAAATTTTAGAGAATGATATATTCATGAAGATTTGCATTATTTCATCTGTGTGGACTATAAGAAAGTGTACATATGAATAAGAATAAAAATTGGTAATATTTAAGTGATGAAATATAATGTTTCATGTTTTTCTTTTTTGAAATCTATTTCTATACAGTTAATGTTTGTATATTTAGTATATAGAGAAAAAACAAACTTAGAACCTAAAATTTTGTATTTAGTAATTAACTCAGCTAATGAGTAGTTTACCTGTCTTAATTTAAATCTCTAGCAGGATCCAGCCAGGAGCAGTGGTGCATGCCTATAATCCCACAAGGAGAATGGCAAGTTCAAAGCCATCCTCCGCAACTTAAGAGAGACTCTGTCCCAAAAATAAAAAGGGCTGAGAATGTGTTTCAGTCATTAAGCACCCCTGGTTTAAAAAAAAAAAAAAAAAAAAAAAAGCAGGATCCATATATGTAATGGTTTAGATCAGATAAACAAAAGCTCACATCTTCCTTCAATATGTATTCAAAATAAGTTAAATGTCATTACTTTAAACAACAAAGTATTAAATTACTACTTGTTCTCAAGATCACAGAGGAGCCAGCCCTCCATGATCCCAATGCAATACCAATAGAAATACTTGTTAGGACTAATTCAAAACTTTAAGCTATTTACCTTGAGCCACGATTAAGAATTTTATATGTAGCTCTGAACCTAAAGTTAGCTGAGGTCTTACTGTTTACAATATAACAAAACATTGAGAAAACTTGATTTTAAAATTTTTAGTCACTAATAAGCCCGTTTCCTCACTGAAACATGAAACTGATTTCAGTAAGAGATCACTGTAATCCTTTCCAGCTCTAAAATGACATGATTATGAAATCAGACATATGTAGAATGTAAATAGGTACATACATTCATAAATATGTACAGACATTCATAAAGTATATACCTACTTTTTTCTTTTTTACTAAGGATTAAACCCAGGGACACCTTATCACTGAGCTACATCTCCACACCTCCAGTCCTTTTTTTTTTTTTCTTCTTTTTTTTTTTTTTTTGAGACAAGGTCTCACTAAGGTGTTGAGAATCTCACTAAATTGCTAAGGCTGGTCTAGAACATGCAATCCTCCTGCCTCAGCCTCTAAGTCCCTGGTATTACAGGCATGAGCCACCATACCCAGCTAGCATATATCTACATATATTTAAACATGTGTACATATCCATTTATACATAATATATATCCATATATACATTACATATATGATATCTACATACCTATGTATGTATGTACATATTTTCAAATATCAGTCATTATTATTACCACCACTGAGAGGTTATAGTAATCTAAGTTTTCTTATTTCTTGGCTTTACCTTTCTTTTTTTGTGTTTTCACCTTTAGGAACTCAAGAACTTTCTTTACCCATGAATAACTGTTTAAATTAAAGTAACTTTGCATTACCCTCTTACAATCTTGTTTTAAAAATAACTAAATAAGATTAATAAGATTAAAGAAATTAAAAAGTACAAATTCACAAGGATAAAGAGACTAGAAGAGAAAACAACAGGAACAGTAGACAAGACGTGTCAACAAATTTTTAGCAAATGAAAAACAGATGGAGGATTGAGAGTTAAGAAAGCTGAATACCAAGCAACTGCAGAGAATTCCAACAAGAAAAAAGCCAATTCACAAAAACCAGACTTAGAAAGAATGGGAATTTGAGACACCATATACCCCAGCAGGCACAAGGAATCATTAAGCTAAAAACAGGGGAACTGACTCAACTTCTGTAAAAGAAATAGCTCCCTAGATTTCCTCCCTTTTCTACCCAGCCAGGTGACTGCTCTTCCCCCAAACTCCAGCAGTTGAGGACAGTTTTGTTTATTTGGTTTTTGTTTCTTTGTTTTTTGAAGGAGGCCAATGTAGCAACAGGTCCAAGGGCTCAGTAAAAAGGTCAGAATGATGCCAAACTAAAAAAGTTATACTCAGGAAAGCCTGCACCTATAGGGAAAAGCCACAGCCCTCTGTAGCCTGGATGAGAACCCTGAAGCTAGGGCATCCTGGGAGCAAAACTAGAGCATTCTTTTTTGCAAAAACTCAGCAATCCCTAACTCAAGATTCGTAAGTGCATAAGGAAGAAAATACCCCAGAAGAAAATACCAAGCCCTAATTCAATAACTCTATAACACAGCCCACAGATACAAAGTCCAAACCTTAAGATTTTTCTGTAAACTCTTTTTCTGTAACTTTTTAGTGAATATACAACAAAAGATAACCATACAAGTAAGGAAAACCATTATTATAAAAGACAAAGGCTGGCAGTATAGCTTGATGGTAGAAAGTATAGGTAGTTTGTACAAGGCCCAGGGTTCAATCCCCAGCACCAAAAATAAAAAATAAATAAAAGACAAAAAAACAAGCTGAGCAAAAACTAGATTGTAGGATAAACCTATAATCGCAGTGGTTAGTGGTTCTGGAGGCTGAGGCAGGAGGATTGCACGTTCAAAGCCAGCCTCAGCAATTTAGCAAGACCCTGTCTCAAAATAAAAAATAAAAAGGGCTTGGGATGTGGCTCAGTGGTTAAGCAACAATAGGTTTAATCCCCAGTACCAAAAAAAAAGGAAGAAGAAGAAAAATGAAAACAGAAGACTAAACTGAGAAAAAAAAAAAGCTTCAAGAACAAAAATTACAATCAATATCCTCAGAAACATATAAGATGACCCTGTGAACAAGAATAGGCAGAAGGCAGACCATTCACAGAACACTTGACTTAAATGATAAACAAAGGAGGGTCAATCTGTGAGGTCCAATACCTAACTGATATTCAGTCCATAAAAAATAACAGGGAAAAGAGACTATCCAAAAACTAAATCCATAGAATTTCCAGAACTGAAAGATATGCACTGCCCTAAGTCCCTGAAACAATGAATTTTTCAAAAAGACATACACAAGGCATGTCTTATAAAAAATTCATATACCAGGCTGTATGTGGCTCAGTGGTAGAGGGCTTGTTTAGTATGCATGAGGCCCTGGGTTCACTCTCCAGCACCACATAAAGAAAAAGAAAATTCAGACACCAGGAAACAGAGAACATACCAGAAATTTCCGAACAGAAAAAGAGTGGGGGTTGAGGGAGGGGCAGATATAATAAAAAGCATTGGGCTTTTAACAGCCACAATGAAAACTCAACAAAACAATGAAAGAAAATAAGTTTTAACCTAGAATCTTTATCTAGTCAAATCATTGGTT